CTGCCTTTGTATATAACAAAGTTAGACTCCTTAGAGGAACGTCCTATATAGTGTTGTCAGAGACTGTATCTATATGTAGTCTGCCATATTTAGTACCGGTAATCTTGAATGACCAGATATACTGACTACTGACAGATAGTAAGTGCACTCTATATTTTATTATCTTAATTAATTTCTTATTTAATATTTCTGTAAATTATCTAATTTATGCATTTTCTATCATTCATGAGTAAATTCAGTTGATTTGATTGTAAAGTATCTTTCTCTTACTTTTATCATTTGATCTTGGTAATTTATAAATATCAGTTATCAATTTCATTGATGTGACCTGATTATTTATTTTGAAGTTATATAGTTGAATTATTATTTACAGTTGGTATGTAATACATACACCAGACATATTCAGAGAACTATGTTGAGTTAGCCTTGTTCCATAAACAGGTGATTAATTGATATAATCATATGTTTTTTATCATAGATAAATGTAACATGAAATAGTTGCATTGGAATGTATATATATTTACTCAGTAATATTGTACATGAACATTATCAGAATTAATGTTTTTATATTTTATGCAGTCAAGGGGAATAACTTGTAAATGATTTGAACTTTATAATTATAGTGCAAGAGTTATCTTTCTTGTAATGAGCATATATTCCCTTGCAAGTTGATTATTGACTTTTATACTTACTATTGTTTATTCCTATTACAGGGCTATACTTTCATTGTTATTCTACATACTACTTCACCTGTATATATATATATCATCGATCCATCCATATCAACACTTGAATGATGTAATAAATGATGAACCCACAAGTGGCGACTTATTCTTTAATAATGAGTTAAGGACCACTATTACATTACCGAAAGGTAATGTGTTAGGCTTAATTTGATTGGTCGAGAGATTGTAATTTCCCCGAAAGACGTCGCTGTAGTCAACCCGCAGATTTCGAATGAAATAAGTCAGGGGTCCAACGGCAACGTGTTGACTCAGGACCCCTAACGTTGTGAGGATGCTAGTTTATATACAGACTATTTTTTTTAATTATGATAAAAACAAAATGGCCGAGAAAATATTTATGAAAAATATATAAAACCACAACTTAATCTATTCTCCCTTCCCTATTTTTTAACGTGGAAATTTGAATAGCTATACATTTTTCAGTTTTATATTTCAATTAATTTTGACTTGATATCCCTATAAGAGTTGAAGTTTTAACTTGTAAAAGACAAATCATACGGCACAATACATACTATAGAGCTACGATGTATTTAAGCTTTGTTGAATAAATCATCTGCGTAAGAACTTCCTTGATTTATTTACAAAAACTATACTTAGTGACACCATCTTTGAAAAACAAATACTGAATGAAAACGCTCTTGCTTTTTGAGTAACATATACTTGTTAGTGTACTTAAAAAAAATGAATCAGCTCAATTTTCACACTATGACAAAGCATAGGCGTCGGAAGCAAATTGGAAGTGGGGGAGGGGGGCTAATTGAAAGTGGGGGGCTAAACCAACAAATAAAGTTAAATCCCTATTTTCAATGCCTCTATTATGTCTATATTTGCAAAAAAGTGGAGGGGGGTTAAGCACCCTACCCCCCCCCCCCCCCGGTTCCGACGCCTATGCAAATATTTTCTCTATTCAAAAAATATCACAAGCAACCGACTATTTTATATAAAAAATATGATTGGAATGGAACAGTGTTGCTTCAAATAAATAAGCAATTAAAGTTTGAGCCATAAACTTGTTCATTATTTCAGCTCGAATTTTTTTTCTGTCAGATTTCTAATATCCCCATTTTTTTCTGATATTACAAAATCTGAATGACATGAACTCTAAATTATTTATGTATTACATTTACCTTTGTTGCCCTTCCATTTATATTAAATGAGGCCAATGATTAAGTCATTGAAATATATGTTGTCTAGAAATTTATTTTTTTTTCATATTTTTGAATTTCTTTAATATCAGCAAATTCATAATAAAACAACATCTCAAAGCTAGAAAACAGACTGACTAATCTCAAAGGAGGAGTTAGGGTTAGGGTTGGGGTCATATTTGATTGAAGCGAAAGTGAAAACAAGGTAGATCGTGCAAGTCATTATTCGCTTTCATCGATCATAATTACTTTGTATTGACCAATCAGATTATCGGATTTCACAAAGTTACCGTATAACGGGTAATTTTTACTGCTGTAAATTTTTACGAATTTTGGTCAAAAAAGGGTGATTTAAATTTTTACGCGTTAATTTTTTACGAATTGAACATGTCCGTAAAAATTAAAATCATCAGATGTAAAATTCCAGATCACTGATTGTCAGCACTTTGAATGCATTTACGTACAAATAATGTGTCCGAAAACCCGATGTTAGGAAGAGAGAGAGAGAGACAGAGAGATTAAATTATAACAATATAAACAATGCAACAAATTACATAATGTATTAAAAAAATTATCATTTACGTTTTTATACACAAACCATGTACCCTTCATTTACATGTACTCATGTTCTATAAAACACATAGCTACATGTACATGTAGGCACACCACGTGCTCGTCTGGATTTACCGAAAACAAGAGAGACAACTCAAACTATCATAATATTGAAGTGAAAGTATACAAGTACAGTGTATTAAGAATTCGAAGTTTTATTCAAAGCACATGAAACAGAGGAAAGATTGAAAACATGGGTATAATTGGAAGACCTGTAATTATTAAGTCATTATCAGAATTCATGCGTCTCGTAAAAATACTAAAAAAAAAAGAGTAACCAGGTAGGTCTAACTGATTAATTAATTGACGACGGTTGTATAATTTTTTACAAGTTAATTTGATATTTAAGGTCTTCCGTTTCCAACGGAAGACCTTCTACTGATTCTGATGATTAAGATTATTCTTATTATTCTTTTTTTTTTTTCCTTTTCCTAGGCGCCAACTTTGAGGCCTCATATTTCACTCATTTCTCTATGGATTTTGCTCAAATTTTCAGAGTTTATAGATGTTACTAAACTCTATCAGAATTTTGTCTAGCATTTCAAAAATTCATTTCCGGTTTTGAGTTATTTCCCTTTAAACGAAAATTTATAGGCTTTCATTTCCAGACAAAGGCTCGGAGATGGCAAAAGCTGGATCAGAAATTTTACTGATTTTACACAATAGAAGGATTGAAGTTGTGCATAGCGGTTTTTGTTTTTCAATTTCTCTATTCAAAATGGTGCTCTATAGGGGTCAAAAATTAGAACGCCTAAAAGAGCAAAAATTTACACATATTTTGCTTTTTATCTTCTAAACTAAAAATATTTTGTTAAAATATATAGAACAAAATTTGTGCAGAATTACAAGATCTTTCAAATAATATCTCGAAAAAAGGGCTGACCCCTAAATTAAGGGATCTAGAGGGGCCGAAAGTTTTTTCCAGATATCTCAAAAAGTATTGAGAATTTGTAATACGTCCAAGAAGCAAAGTTGTTCAAAATGTCAAGGTTAATCTATTAAAGTCGTCAAAATGCGTCCGGCGACGTCACTTCCGGTCAAACCGGAAGTCGTCATAAAATGCATATTTTTGCCGTTCTTGACAAGTTTTTGGGTAACATATGTCACTGGAAGCATAAAACTTAATTTTCCGTCCGTCGACATCACTTCCGGTCAAACCGGAAATCGCCAAAAATAGCTTATTTTTTAAGGTTTTGATGCAAAATTGAAATCATAAAGTGACTGGAGACGACTTAGCTCATTGTTTTCTTTTGTTGACGTCACTTCCGGTCAAAACAGGACGGAAGACCTACTCGTTGCTTTGCAACGAGCTTTGCTCTAGTTACCTCTACTATCACAATGGATGATTGACTTAAAAGTGTTCAAAATACCAACAGTACACTAATTATATAGCCTCCAGGGAGTGAGCTTAATGACAATTAGCATTACTTTTACTCATACGATGTTGAAAATTTACACGAGCCTTTTTATAAATTATGTGAAATTTTACGCGTTTAATTTTTACGGATATATTAAACTCGTAAAAATTAGTAAAAATTAGCATCACGTAAAAAATACCCGTTATACGGTATATAATATTCATTAATAATTTAATTCTAGTTGTAACTCGTCATTTTACTGGTTAAACGGTTTTATCCATTTTGTATAACATAACTTGCCTACGTCACAATGAGTTTACATCAAAAACGTATTACTCAGAGTCGAGATCAAACAGCAGTGTAAAAGTAATCTATTTATCGATCCGAGGTTTGTTGAATCAATATTTTCACATTTTTTTTTATGATTTCAAGAACAATTTATGATTTATTATGAATTTGCTGATATTTTCATTTTAAGGCCTTCCTGATCGAAATAATTAAATTTAGTGTTTGGTTCTGTTCCAGATAAACAACATTCTTTTGTAAAATTAATGCTATTTGACGTTAAAGTACTTTGAAAATAGAATACTACTTTACGAAACACGCAGTTGATCTTAGTCTGATAATACATGTTTTTTCCTGTCCGATTTAAAAATCATCTTTATCATATTTTATATCTATTTCACAATAACATGTTTGAAATGTTTTCAATGAACTATGGAATCAAAGTTCGTAGGTAGCAAAAAATTGTTTCGTGGGGACGTAATTTCATTGATAACAAGTTCTTTTTATGTTTGTTTTTAATTTTTAATGAATAATAAAACAAATGTTTGTACAGGTATATACGTTCACGGGGATGTAAGTATGTGGGTCAGGGTGACCCACGAAAGCCACGGACATTGGTGCCCCACTAACAATGATGAGTGCACAGTATTAGAAAAATAATGAAATATGAAACTTCTATATATGGTATGAACTTCTCTTTCTTAGAAGCCCAAGAAAAATACGTTTTTTGTCTTTGCTGTTTATACAGCTTGGATACTTCATTTGTGTATACGCTTGCATTAAAGTATATTTGGAAACACTTCGTCCTACATTTTTTTACTATACATAGAAAACAAAATTAAAAAACAAAATTAAAGCTGGAGACCAACACCTTGAATGTAAGATTGCGGAAGATTCTTACGAGTGGATGTCAAGTGATATTCAATAGGGTCTGGATCAAAAGTAGTAAACTTAAATAGAACAGACAGATCACCAACACATCGTAAGAAGTAAACCAAATATTCTTACGATGTGTAGGTGATCTGTCTGCTCTATTTAAGTATTGATGACGACCGTCTGCGGTCGAAACCGGTAAATCAAATAAATTTACTTGTGCATTCTTACGATGTGCTGGTGATCTGTTTGTTCTATTTAAGTTTACCTAGAAAAGTATAATTATCAGTTTACCTAGAATTTGAAAAGAAATTATGGTTCACATCGTTTATTATTAAGTTATTCAGACGCCCTTTAATCTGATACATGAAACTGGTTCATTTTTCAAAGTTTTCGGTGACATTTTCCACGTAATATAATGTCATTTTGACCTATCATGGATTGCGAAGCTTTATTCGGTTAATGTGTTTATTTTTCGATTTTCTATTCAAAATAAATAAACTTTATCTACTTTTGAAATTAGACAGAACTCTGGTTAGGCGGAGAGGGAACCTACCTATTACTGTAAAGTAATACTTTAATACAAAATGCCGGTCAGCCAAACAAACATCAACTAACAATTACATGGGTAACTTTTTTTAAATAAACAAAATAAAAAAAATGTAGTCAGCACATTGTTACTTTCATTTACTCGAAAGTTAAATACTGTGAAAATCATTATAATTCGTCGGGGCTCTATTTCCATAGGTACCTAACATCCATAAATTAAAATTTTAAACTAGATTTCCGGAGTTCTGTTTTCCTTTGTACGTATTAGTGAGAAATCAAATTAAATCTCAACG